CCCTCCATGAACGTCCCTGTGCACAGAGAATCCGCACATGAGTTCGAGGGTTTCGTGGACTCTTGCTCCAAAGAGACAAGGGTGGGGACGCCTTGTTCCCACATGGAGGGGGACATGGGACACTGGCACTTCCCTGGGACCATGTGCACGGGCGCCGCCCTCACCGAGCTCTTGCTGCCCAAAGGGGAGGCAGCCTGCAGCGTCTGGCAGTGCCATGTGGCGAGGCTGGACCCCACCGCAGGTGTCCACAGGCAGCCTTTGTGCCACTTGCATCTCACTCCCCGACGGCGGTGGCCCTGAGGGGTGAGCCAAGTACGGGAACCGACAGACGTCGCTGCACCATCTGGGGGCAAAGGCAGAGGCCAGTCCACCAGTCTACCGCAGACCTCAGCTTCCCTGTGGCCCCTGCCCCTTTCTGAGCTCTCCAACGGCCAAGCAGACCTCAGGGGTCTGGCCTGCCCGGCATCCCCCCACTTCTTCCCTAACAGCCCCCATGAGTGGCCAGGTACCCCCCACCCCCATTCTCACTCTGCCCACACTCTGCCCACCCCCTCCAGTTCCAGCGCTGGACGCTTAGAGTCACAGGTTCAGGGATGGACAAGTGACCTGGCCAGAGGTAAAGAGAGTGAGGCCTGGGACTTTCACTCAAGAAGAAAAATAGCTGTCTTTGCACTAAGGGGAGAGCCTGAAAGGCAGAGAGGAAACATGGAGAGACGTAGGCTGCTGACAACACCATCTGAGCACCTGGATCCAGCCATGCCTGAAGACCGAGCTCCCCCAGAGGGTATGAGAGGCAATTATAGCTGCCTCTTGGCCGATGCTGGTTTGAGCTGGATATCTGTCCCCTGCAAACCAGAGATCCCTGAGTAATGGTGTTGGCCCAATGAAAGTCCAGCAAATTTAGTGCAAAAGCAGGTCAGTGCACATGAGCCCCTGGCAAGCAGAATTAAGGGGGAAATCTAAATGATTTATTATTTAAGGGACCACCACAGGTGGTCAGTAATGTGACCAGAAAGGCTGACAGCTAGACTTAAGGACTTCAAATTCCACTGAACAAGGCTGACCCCCCCTGCCCTCCCCTCCACCTGCCACCCACCCAGACGCAGGCCAAGCGTCACTGTATAAGGCGCTACCTACACAGCATCCTTTCCCAGGGCATGATCTTGTTCCTGATGCAGAGGAAGGACACCGAGAGGGGACATGCCCTGCCCCAGGGCACAAGGGATAGGGCCACCCACCCTCCAAGCTCTGTCTCAAGTCACCCCCATGCAAGTCCCAGCCACATGGAGCCTCCTGTGGGCTGGTGGCCCAACAGCAGGACGACAGGTAGCCCAGGGCACCCGGCTTGGCCAGAGAAGGGGACGCTAACTAGAAACCCCTCATCCTCAGCACCCTGCAGACGGGACCCTGGGGGCAAAGGGAAGGAACCTTCTGGAACAGGGCCATGTCACCTCTGCCCACATTCCTGCAGGCAGGGAGTGGGAGGACGTCCCTCCCACGAGGACACTGCTGGTCCGATGGCATCTGGCATCGGTGGGAGGGGCTGAGGATGACCAGGAACAGCCCTGCAGCCCCCCACACAGGACCTGTTGACCTGCTCCCACCTGCTCCGCCCGTTTTGTCCTCACAAAAGTCGTGCATAGTGGGAGCCACACGCACCCCCACTTGGCCGAGGAGACCGGGGTACAGAGAGCAGCAGAAGCAGAGCGAGGTGGGAAGGGAGGGTGGGATGGAGCTGGGGGAGGACAGGCCCTTTGGCCTCAGACAGGACGCTTGTCCTTGTCCTACCCACTGGAGGGTTCACACAAAGGCGGCGACAGGATCATTTGTATTTCGAGACGGTCTCGCTGGCGGCTGAGAGCGCTGGACAGCAGGGCCGGTGCCAGGGCGAGGAGAGAGGCCAGGAGCGGCCCAGCAGGGCGGGGTGGCTGGCGCAGGCGGGCCCTGCAGCCGGGGCCTCGGAGGCCTCCCGGCTCCCATTAGGGCCCCTGGGGGCCTGTCTGAGCCAGGCGGGCGGGGTCTGCTGACTGCTCTTCCCCTAGTCCTAGAGACTCTGCCCCTGGGGAGAAACGCATCACCTGGGAGCACGGTTCTTTCAGGGCTGGGTTCTTGCGATAAAATTTACCTTGAGAACTCGAGCCTCAGATCAGCCCAGGCCGCTGACAGCGAGGCCCACGCTGCCACGCTGGGTCCTGTCACCAGCACGGCCGCCCCGAGCTTCTCTGTCGCACCGAAGGTTCCCCTGGGGAGGGCGTCCTCCCTGGATTACACCAGGCCTCCCTCCCCGGGAAGACAGACCCTCATTTGCTGGTTACACGAATATTTAAGACCTCCGGGGCCTTGTGGGCCCCCAAACCCCTTCTCTGTGTCTTGAGGCTGCTGTAACAAACCGCCACACACTGGGCAGCGTACAACGTAATCACCTCTCCCACCGTGCTGCAGCCACAGGGTGGCCAGGACGGGCTCCCTGCAGAGGCTCTGGTGGCTGCCTCCCTCCCATCGGCCTCAGTCGCCACATGGCTGTCCTCTGTGGGCTCTCTTGTGTCTCCTACAAGGACACCCTCATTGGATTTAGGGACCACCCTAAACCAACATGATGTCATATCCACCCTTCCCTTAATTACATCTGCAAAGACCTTGTTCCCAAATACAGTAACATTCCGAGCTTCCGTGTGGATGTAAGTTTGTGGGGACACCACTCACCCCACTACAGGTGACAATCCCTCAGTCATCCATCCTCCAACCCCCAGGGGGCTCCCAAGGCCCCGTCAGAGGTGCGGGGCGTGTGGACACACGGCCTGCCCGTTCCGAGGCGAATCTCCCAACGGACGAGTTGCCTGGGCTCCACACAGCCAGCTGCGGGGCTGGCGGACACGAGCCCGGCGGAGTGTGCGAGTGAGGTGGCCATGGGGTCCCGGCCCTCTGCAGGAGGACTGGGCTCTGGGTGACCGGGGGCTCCATGGGGATCAGGGCCAGGAATCCCCCAGGGCAAGGTGCCTGCCCACCCCACCCCACCCGCTCACAAGGCATCCAGCCCAACGCAGCCCCCACCCGTGTCTGGCCTTGCCCCCTCCTGCCTCCACTCCTGGCTGTTGCTTTCCCTCTGCTGGTCCCTCTGTCCCTCCATTCTCTACTCAGATGCCACCTCCTTGGGGCAAAGCCCCCCTTCATGCTGCACCCTGCTTTGGTCCTCAGGCTGTCGGCACTGCCTGACAGGACACGATGGCCCCACTTTTCACCGTCTGGGCCTCCCGAAGGCAGGTCCTGGGCAGGAGTCACAACTGTCCCCTCCGGCACACAGGAGTGCTCCGTCCACACTCCAGGTCGGGTGAGTGTGGGCACAAGCAGGGGACGAGCATCGTGGGGCCCTTCCTTGGGGCCCTGGCACACTATGCCCCCCACCCAGGGCCTCGGCTGTCACCACTGTGCCCTCTGCCCGGGGGCTCTCCCCTCCCCCACTGGCCCACTTGTCCTCCAGGGCTCAGCCGTCTTCTGAGGAGCCTTCCCAACCCCCATCATCTCCCGGGAGGCTGCACCTCTCCCTCCCTGCTCCAGGCCAGTGACAGCTAGGCGTCCCTGTCACCGCCTGCCTTCCCTGCTTTCCGGAGGTTCTGCCAGGGCAGGGACCACAGCAGGCAGGCGGCGCGGTTACAGATGAGGGAGGGAGTGAGGGAGTGACCGTCCTGGTCTCCAGTGGATGTTCCAGGTAGCTTCCTGAAAGGAGGGACTCTGAAAGTGGGGGGATTGAGGCTTTAAAAATGTTAAAAGGACAAACCCACACGACTGCCTTTCCAGCCCACGGATGAATCTGCTTCACGGCTGTGGCTTCTGTTTCATCACGGACGTCCCGTGGGCACAGCACGCTGCCGCCGGCCCGATCCGGACACCCCCCCAGAGCGCAGGGCTGGATGGAACCGGCACCTGGCTCCTCGCACCACCAAGAGCCTCTTGCGTGGGGACCGGGCATCTCACAGTCATTCGCTTGGGTGGGACTCAGCGGCGGGGCAGCCTGTGAGAAAACTCAACGCCCTAGGAAGAAAAGCTGCATCAGCCATTTCTGTCAGGGCGTTAGGGAAACCGAGGCATTCCTCCAGGTCGGGGGGAAGCAGGATGCAGTGCCATCATCACCATCACAGCGCAGCACTGAGTGCGGCCCACGAGAGGCGTCTCCACGCCCCCCAGCAAGGATGCAAGAGAAAGCCACAGTTCTGACCTCCAGGATCTAACTAAAGTGCACGGGGACCGTGTCACAGTCAGAGCCTGCACAGAAGCAGCAGGGACTGAGAGCCACCAGAATTACTGCGAAGAGCAAACAGTGTCACTGCGGTACCAGTGGGGACGCGTGTTCCCTGCTAGGTCAGTGGCGGCCACGACACAGCCCTGCACTCAGAGGGCAGGACCTGCAGCCCTGGCGCTCCCGCCGCCGGGCTCCCGCCCCCCTAGGAGTCGCCCCTGTGGTGTCGGCACACACCTCCCTGCCCTGAGACAGGCCTGAGTGGACTCCCCACGCAGGCGCAGGGCACGGCCACCGGGCTGCCCACGGCCACGCTGTCCTCAAGGGAAAACCACACTTATGCTGCAGACAGAAAACGCAAGAAAACTGCCAACGGAGAAAACGTGAAAAAGTTCAGTATAATATTTTGCTTAATAACTTAAAAAACAGATGTGAAGGATTATTAATAGCAGTATAAAACATTGCATGGCAAATCATATATTATGTTTATACAAAATCCGGTAAGAGAAACATAATTCCTATCATCTGGGATGATTCGTAAAATACACTTTGCTAAAAGCAAATCAACACAGAGTTTCGGATGGAGACGGGCGGGCAGGGGCCGCTGGCAGGGGCCGCGCCAGAGCCACCGCAGAGCTCCCGCTCACACTGGCCTCGGTGGCCGTCAGCTGCTCCACCAGACACGGCGTTACAAGTGATGGGGGTCCGCCCTCAGCCGAGTTCACAGGTCATCCGGCAGGTCCCCGAGGCCCGAGGCCATGGGCAGGACGGAGCGCAGAGCAGCGCAGGCACGTGGGCAGGGGCCGGGGGCTGCAGGGAGGACGGGCGCCCCCCGCCCTCACTGGTAGACGACCTTCACACAAAACGTCTCTTCGTTTTTGTCTTCGTGGTCGTTGATGTAAATGAGAATCTCCTCCTCCCCCACGCCCGGACCAGGGGCAAACTGCAGGCCGATCGTGTAGGTCTCTCCTCCTCCGACCTGGAAATGAGCGTCAAAATCCCAGCGTCCACCCCGGGCTGTCCCCGCTCTCATCCAGCCACCTCTCCGCACAGTCATGCACATCTGCGGCGGGACAGCGGCTCACAGGCGCTGCCCAAGGACGGTGAGCCCTCGGGGTGCACCTGTGGCCCGCCAGAGACCCCAGTGCCTGGGGAGCAGGGTGACACGTTACTCAGACCCCAAAGCACACTTATTTTCTTAGATAAGTTTCCCAGCGTTACGGTGAAGACCCGGGCACGCCGCTCCTTCCCATTCTGGGGAGAAGCTTCGCCAAATCTCTGGCAAGTGAAGAAACATCGGGTCACCCAAGTGTAGGATGACACTTGTCACTCTCCCAGGACTCTGTGAAGACTGCCCCTGACTCAACGGAATCACTCCTAAAGGCAGTGCCAACCACCTCCTCCAGGTCACCCGCCCACCAGGCGCCGCCGCTGCCGGGAGCAGAGGCCGCCGCCTCCCGGGCGGGCGCCGCACCTGGAAGGAGTCCTCCTTGAACTGCAGCAGGTCCGGGTGGTCGCTGTGCAGGTGGTACGTCCTGCGGGAGGGGTAGGGGTTGGTGTAGGTGATCCGCTTGTTGACGCCCTTCCCTTCACCCACCGCCAACGTGATCTCGAAGGCCTGTGGACAGAAGGGACAGGGGGACGCTGTGGCCAGACTCAGAGGAACAGCCGCTGG